TATATATTTATATAGGCTGGGGAGAGCTCAGTGCAAAATCCATGTGTTGGATCCCCAGTATAGGCAAACAAAATTGCAAAGCCCTATTCACTATACTTTTATTGGGACTGAAGCCTGAGTCCAGCACTCATTACCGCCTATCTGGTCATTTTCAGGGCCTTCCGTTCTTCTGTCTCTGCTCTAGTTCTTCATGCCACCTAACACACCAGTGCTAGAGTAATTATCCTCAAGATAAGCTTGGTTATATCATTTTCTTGCTCACAAACTTTCTAAGACTCTTCTTTGTCCATAGTTCAAAATTCAAGATCATCTACAATTCAGTCTCCACTGCATTTCCATTCTTACCTCCAACTATTTGAGTAATTCATATTCTAATCACAACCTCACTGCATTTTCCACTATAGTTCCTCTTTGTTTCCAGCCTAAAACTCTTCTTATTAATTATCAGCTAAAATTCAGCTTCATGTATGACATTTTCATGAAATCTAAGCAAAAAGTAACTGGTCCCAAATCCTGCAAAGCACCTTGTTCATAACTGAGTTATATTATGATCCCAGTTTCTCCTATAAAATGGAAGATGGGAAAAATGAGAAGATTTAACACTATCAGAGCAGAAATCACTAAATAGCCCAGTATAGTACTTGGAAAATAGTAGGCATTATTTATTTCTATTTTTAGTTGTTATTTATATTTTTTCACAGTACTGGGGATTAAATCTAAGGCCTCACACATGTGAGGTAAGCACTCTAACAATGAACTATAGTCCCAGACCATTTTATTATTTTTCTAAAATTTAAGACAGGGTCTCACTAAGTTGTCTAGGCTAATCTTGCACTTTCAATCCTCCTGCCTCAACCTCCCAGGTAGCTGGGATTACAGGAGTGCATCACCATGCCAAGCTCATCTTTATTAACTCATCCTTTATGTAGGTTAATTAAAATAATTAGACACTTAAAGATCCAAATCACAATCAGAATAAAGCATGAGGCACCAAGCAAAGAAATTTTAAAATTTTTCAGTCCAAATCTTTCTCTGTCACCCATATCACTACTGAATTAGATATGGCACCATAATCTTCATGGCCCTAACACTTTCAGATCATTTGCTCTAGCCAGTCTATGATGGGCTGAGTACTTCCCCTGAAGTATCTAACTCAGTCTTTACAAAGTAAGTTCTCATAGAGAATCTGACTCATTTTTGGATGTCTGATGGCTACCAGCCTTTAAACCTTACTTCTCCCCCTCCCCATCTCCTCCAATTGAATTGCCTTTTTGATTATGCCCAAAGCAAGCAGTGAGTGGTGCAGGCTGTAAAAAGTTAACCTCACAATTAGTTTGTTTTGAGAAGCAAGTCTGGCTGAAGCCTACATGCCGAGGTCAGAGGGACTCACACCCAAATTCCATTCCCAGAGTTAAAGCCTTCTTTACTAAAAAGACAAGGTTAATTATTAACCACAACCTAACCTATATTTTGTCTGTTCTGTTCCTAACTCTAGAATGCTTTGTCTCTCTCTTCCTTTACAAGTCTTGCCTGCAACATCATCCACAGCAACTACACATAGTCCCTTCAGGTAGCCCCTTTACTTCAATCTAACTATGATGGCACCAATAAATATCGACGGCTCTGGCTGTTCAGGGACTTTGCTTGTTCAAGCCTTTGACTACTCAGCACTGATCATCCTGGCTCCCTGTGTATCTGTCTCTTTAACCTTGACTCTATGTCCTTCTTGCCATACACAGTAGTACCAAGCAGGAGAGTCATCCTGCAGAAAAATCCTGGTGCTCCCTCCTTCAGCTCCATGAGAGAGTCAAACCACAAAGGAGCCTTTAACCCAGCCTCACTTTCTAACTACAGCCGAAATCCCAATTCAGTCTCCTGTCTGTATTCATGCAAGCCATCTCAGACCCACTTGGGAAGCCTGCCCAGCTATCTTCAGAAAACTTCGCTATATTAATGCCAAATACCTTCATACACTCCTGCTGTGTCTCATCCAAACCATACATGGGAAAAGGATCCATCCTGACACTTTAGTGTGGTGAAAAGAAAGATACTACTGTTGTTACTCCTTCTCCTTTAACCTATGGGGAAACAGGTTCATTGCCACAGTAAAGGGCAGGCTGACTCCAGAGCTCTCCTTTTACAGGTCACAGTTCATTTTCCTCTGCATGAATTACTACTAAGTCCCTTCAGCCTGGCCTCTTTGCCTCTATTTTCCCCTCCCTGCATTCTCTTTTCCAAATGAAGAACAGTATAGGCAGGTTATACTCTTTTATCCCATGGCTACCTGTGGCTACCTAGAAGATTACTCTGGCCCAGTCTACATTTGTAAATTGAATTCAAGCCCTGTGTCCTCTTCAAAAGTTTCCACATATCCCCAGGCAGCATTCTCTCTGCTCTTTATTTTGCAGAGTCTTTTCCATACACTGTATAACAAGCATGTGCTATAACACAGTATTTGTTCATGTATCCGCCTCCCCAACTATTCTCTAGTACAGCATCTGACACAGAGAGGGAAAATAAGGTCTCATGAATTAAAAAGGCAGCAGAATAGTGTGCAGCAGACTGATGAGAATAGTTTTGTTCAGATCATCTCGCTCCTAACCCTAACCTCAACGGTCCCTGAAAAACATGATATTACATTTGCCCGATGTACTCCTAAACTAATAT